CCCGCCCCTACCCCTGGCTGCGGTAGCAGGTTCCCTATGAGAAGCTTCTGCGTGTGCATGTCACCCCACTGCCTGTCGCTGTAGTTCGGGCTTATTTGTGCTTTGGGGAACCGGGAAGCCGTGTCTAGAGAACATTGTGATGGTCGGGTTGGTGTGGAAGCTTTTCTGTTCTCTTTGCTCATGTTCTGTAATCGTTGAGTTTGTAGTTTGTGATGGTGGTGAGGCTATGTGAGGACCAGCCACTCAGACGGTTTTTTTCTTTTTCTTTTTTCTTTTCAAGACAAAGCTAGAGGTCTTTTTCAAAAGAAACTTTTGCAGCCTGTCGTTACTTTCAAAGCCAAAACCAACAAAACCCCCAAACGGTTAAAGGAAAAGGTGGAAACAACCAAAATGACTTGGGTAGGGCCCGCGCTATAAACAGCTCTGTGGGGAAGAACCCCCTTTGTGCTTGGCAGCCGAGACCTGAAACTTGGTCTCCAGGAGCGTCGGTCTAACCTCCAGTTTGTTGTGGTGACGAACCATGAGCAATGGCCTGTGTGTTTATGCTGGGCGCGCTTTCTTTCCTGTTTGGGGATGGGTACTGGGAATGGAAGGGGGGTGGGGTGGACAACCCCAAGCTCCAGTAAGTAAATCTTTACGTAACCACTGACTCGGTTGTGGATACTCATCTTAAGATGCTCATTCCTGTCTAGTTAGTGACACTGAGAAGTCTCAGTAGTGTAGTGCGGCCACATACGAGTTTCAAGAGTAGATTCTCCTGCCAGAGACCGCCGTTTTTATCTTGTTTCTTGGTAACTCAGAAAACAGCAGTATGGCTTCCTGCTCTAGATGAAGTGGGGTTAAATTAAGTGGCTGTTGTCCTCTGCAGAACCTACAATTTTGCTCTTGTTTGTGTAAAGCTATTTTTGATTCGTGGTCTGTAAAATTTTTTGTTGTTGTGCTTAAGATGAGAGAGAATGCAAACCATTGTCAGCTCTTCTTTTTTTTTCCGTTTAAAAACCTAAAGCTTTCTGTAAAGCAAAAACTTAACTCATTTTACCTAATCATTGTTATTCACCTGGTTATTTTGGGTATTTGCATGCAATTTCCATAGGAGTCGGTGTTACCATATGATGAAGGCTTTAAGATACGCTTCTCAACTTGAAGGGTATTTTGTTTAAGTATTTGAGATCGAAGCTGGAGGCTTCCAAACTGGTAAAGCATCTAACAGAAACGGTGACTGCGATCTTGTTTGTGTGCCAGCTCTGGTGGACTAGTAGTTTGTGGTAGTCTCATGGCCAGTTGATCTCTGGACATTGTATTATATTTTACAGATTTTAGACCAAGCTGATTGGTAATGAGATTTAAAATCAAACCAGATCTTCCTCCTGAACAAAAAAATAAGTCAAAGTTCACATTTCTCCGAAAAACAGAATTCTTTCCTTCTTTGTTTTTGTTTTTATAAGCCCAGATCTACGATCCACCAGTGATTTGTTGGTAGAAATCAGTGAGCCAAACCTGCCTGTGAACTTCTTAGACTTGGAACTTGTGCAGCTTGTTGGTTATGTATTTTAACTGGGCCTTTCGTAATTTGAATAATTTTGTAAGCCTGAGCAGTCTGATCTGTCAGCTGCCCTTTTCTGGACTGTGTGACAACCATCTATGTTTTGTTAGGCCTTTCTCTACTAGTTCCTCTCCAGTTTCTTCCCTTGTAATTCATGTTATTTCGCACACAGGTTAAAATCGTTTTCCTGAACTAACTCTTAATTTTCTTCTTTTTGTTTGTTACTAATGCTTAGTTGACCAGGCTGACCTCACACTCCTGACCTGAAGGGATGGTTGGTTCTGTGTTAGCTTCACTGAAACATCATGGTGCCTGGTGTGGGTCTATTTTTGGCTTTGATTTTTGCCTTTTTGTCCTTTTTTAATTGTAGAAATTCAGCTAGTGTATGTATAATGTATTTCTATAGTACATACTTTGTTACATTTACTTATTCAGTGTGTGTGCAGGAGAGGACAAATTGCAGGAATTGGTTTTCTGTCATGCCATGCATGTTTTCAGGCTTAGCAGCAAGTGCCTCTACCCACTGAGCCATTTTGCAGGCCCTCTAGTCCCTTTTATAGTTTCTTTTTCCTTTTAGGGTGCATATTACTTCAGCAGTCTTCTAAGGTTATTGAATAAAATGTTCTATTTCTTTGGATTCTTTAAAGTCACCTGGTACCATGTTTTCCTTGCTGCTTAATGAAAAGGAACCAGGAGACCTGAATTCTTTGCCAGTATTTTGCTCATTAGCTTTGTGTAAAACTTATTTGGCCTTCTTGGGTTCCTTTTTTTTTTCCATATTAGAACTAGAGGATGTTAGAAAGATTCTTTTTAAAGTCTGTTAGCTATAAAAGTCCAGTCCTTTTTTTCTCTTTCTTTTTACTTCTCCAGTCAAATATATTTCCTTCCTCTACACAGTTTCCCATTTTTCCATAGCCCTTGGATCCTGGCAAAAGTCACCCCATTCTTCTTGAAACAACCTCATCTCCTCCCATCTGCCAAGCCATTGTTACCTTCCTTAAGCCCTCCTTCCATTTCATCTTTGCTGACTGATCTGAACTGGGCCCTCACTTGGTGGTGTTTGTGTTTTATAGTGATCTCTTCTTTGTTCTTATGTTGGGAACTCTTTGTGCTGTTGTTTTCTTTATCTAACTTTATAAATCTTGTTGATTTTCTCTCTTACATATAAAATAATACACGTTTCTAACACAAAGGACCTATTTTCTTTTGTTCTGTTGCGATAGATTTGTTATGCAGAACCAGTCTAAGCAGATATTGAAACTCAGGAAAACATCCTACCTAGGAGGAAAGCATCCTTTTTGTTTTGTTTTGTTTTTGTTTGTGTTTGTGTTTTGAGACAAGGTTTTTCTGTAGCTTTGGTGCCTGTCCTGGAACTAGCTCTTGTAGACAAGGCTGGCCTCAGATTCACAGAAATCCGCCTGCCTCTGCCTCCTGAGTGCTGGGATTAAAGGCGTGCGCCACCACCGCCCAGCAAGGAAAGCCTCCTTTAGCTAGCTAGCTTACCAAAACTTGTCAGGGCATTTGTTTTAAATGGCTGAAGGTACACAGAGTTGTAGATGCTCTCCTGGCAGCTAACATCACCTTTCCCACACCCTGTTTTGCAACACCAGTTGGGAAACTGGTTTGTCACTGGTTTGTCTTACACAGTCCTATATGAAGGAAGGAAGTACTGCCAAGCGGTGGCAAACTTTGATTCAAATGTTGTTCTTTAGGGTTTCAAGCTTACTTTTTTACTTCAATGTTACTATGCTTAGAACAGTAATATAGTATTACTGACAAAAGACTATAATTTCTGTTACATCATGTATTTCTCTAATTCAGTCATAATTATTTCTTAGATTCCTCTACATTTATGTATGGAGCAATAGTGTGATGTCTTTATAGTTGGTCATGCTAGGAAACACTTGGCACATACAGTATGCCAGCCATTATAATGGGTGCTAGTGATAACAGAAAAGAGGAAAACTGGTGTCTCACTACCCTGATGTTCAGGATCATCCTTACAGAATGTAAACTTGAGAAAAGAAGCTGGCTTTTATTTTTAAATTATGTACATGCACATACACACATGTGTCATGACAGTTCTCTTCTAGTGTAGTTCTGGGGATTAAGCTCAGGTAGTCTTGGCTTGTGCACCAAATGCTTGTATCTGCTCAGTTATGGTGCTGAACCACTACTAGTCAACTTTAAAATATTTTCTTAGGTTTATTTATTTTATGTATATCAGTATTTTGCTTGAATGTATATGTGCACCACATGTGTGCCTAGTACCTGAGATCAGAAGAGGAGGAGATCAGAAGAGAGTGTCAGCTCCACTAAACTGGAGTTGCATGTTTGTGAGCCACCATGTGAGAGCTGGGAACTGAACCTTGGGTCACCTGCCAGAGCAATAAGCGAGCCAACCGTGGAGCCACCTGTCTAACCCTTCCCCCCATCTCCAGAGTTAACTTTTAAATAAATAAGTCTAAATAGTGATACTTAAACTGCAGAGTGGCCTCTAAGTTATGTGAACTGTCCCTACTTTCTTTGGATCCTACATTTGCTTTCTCTAGTCTTCCCTGTCGTTTGAATCTCAGTTCAGTTGCCAGCATCATACAAGGCTTTAATACGAACACCATGCAAGGCTTTTCCTGATGCCATCTCTATTATATTGTATTCTCTTCATAGCTTACCACTAGTTGCATTTCTCTCTCTCTCGTCTCTCTCTCTCTCTCTCTCTCTCTCTCTCTCTCTCTCTCTGTACATTAATTGCATTTCTCTTTCTTTCTTTGTGAGTGTGTAGAGAGAGAAGGGGTGGTATGGGAGAAAGAACAAACTATCCCCAGTTGAATATAAGCTCTAAGAGATAAAAGGTCATACCTATCTTTAATACCACTGTGTCCCTTGTGTCTAGAACAGTTTCTGGCAGACAGGTATCAGGTCCTCAATACATGTTTGTTAAGGGA